TACTGTGTAAATCGTGGGATAGGTGTACATATACAAACATATCATCTTCAAGCTTCAATCCTATATATTCTGTATTAATACGACTTATCCATACTGATACTTATTCTTTGAAATCAGTTTGAAAACTGAATTTTATACAAGAAAAAAAAAGAATTTATAAATTTTATTGTCATCTATTGATAAAATTTGTCCCTAGAAAATGCAGGGTATATCCTAAACCAGGAATTGGCAAAATTTTGAGTTGGAAGAGTCAAAAATGACATTTTACAAAATTTCAAAGTATTTAAAGAGCCACAAATATTTTCCTTGCCAACAATAAATAGTACTCGTTATCACAAAGCAATAAAGCGCCATCTATACATATAAAATGAAAGGATTTAAAAGCACGAATGTTTCTTTTATACATAATACAAACTTCTACTGCCCTTACTGCGGTGAAAAATATATTGGGAGGGCTTGGCTCATCAGTAGTGAACCCTCCCAGCGGTTTCGCCAATTTAATCCACCAGACCGCTTCTCAGAGCTCTAATACTGTATTCGACGATTCTGCTTATATACGCAGCATTGAAGGATGGAATCTCAGAAATTGTTTTTAAGAAAACTATGGACATAAGCTTATAGGACAGTAGAATTACATTCAAATATTTGCATCGAGCAATGCTCTTCCGCAAACAATAAAGACAAGGTCAGTTAGACATAAATTAACACAAAGCAATAACGCGCCATCTATACATATAAAATGAAAGGATTTAAAAGCACGAATGTTTCTTTTATACATAATAAAAACTTATAAATAATATTTACGTATGCAACTATATAAAAAGCCGCAGCTTCACATCCAAAGAACCGCATGTGACTCGTGAGCGACAGTTTGCCAACCTCAGTCCTAAACCAATCCAATACAATAGTAGAGCGGTCTAGAGATTAATTTGGTGAAACTGCTGAGAAGGTTCACTACTGTTGAGTCAAGCCCTCTCATTCAAAATTATATCAATGCAGTAAGGTCTGTAGAATTAATATTTAATGATATTATTGTAAAGAAACACATTGCCAGTAAATTTATTTGTTACAAATTTTAAGAATAAAGGGATCAGAGGAATATTGTGATAAATCTGAAGTTCTACTTCGCAAGACAAAGTAAAAAGGGACTTTCAAAGCCACATAGATTTTAAAAAATTGAATGCATATTTGAGAATACCACCAAAAACTCTATTATCAATTTTATAATGCCATTGCCCCGTTAGTCAGCTACATTTCAGAGTTCCCTGTTCACGGCTCGGGGCTCACAACACCGTACTACAGGACAGTCTCTTACTTGTGCTGCTTCTCCCACCCGCCATGTAGAGGAGGTCTTCTGGGCAGGTATCCATCGTGTAATGTATAGGATAAACATTTATTTGACGTCATTATGTCATATTTATTTCAAAACTGTACGATTTCAAAAGAATAACAGTTATAATGTGCTTACAAACCGAGAACCTACCAAGATTGATTACAATTTTGCATATTTCCAAAAGTGATAAATCAAATTATTGCAACAGATGTTGTTACCAAGTATATTGCATACGTTTTCCAATTTTGGTATTTATAGATTCAATAAATATATTCAAAAAGCGTCTGTTCGTTTAGTTTTGGATGCTATTGCGATATTCAATTTACAAGGTTTCATCTCATTTCCAGAAATTTTGCATATTTACCAGGTCAATATCTTTTGGTTTAGAATAACCGATTTTTGAATGTATTACTTTTGATTTAATTTGTGTTTGATGAATGGTAAAAGAACATATATCATTATTATTTGTTAAATACATCACACAACAAAGCCTTTATTGGTGACACTCGTCCCATACAGGATTCTCCTAAATCAGGGGTCGGAAAACTTTTGAGTCAGAAGAGTCAAAAATTACAATTTTACAAAGTTTTTAAAGAGCCACAAAATGTTTTCTTGCCAACAATAAATAGTACTCGCATAAATAATATTTACGTATGGAACTATACAAACCGGCCTTTGCCGGTCCCAAGCCCGGATGAAAAAAGGAAGAGGGGGAGCAGTAACAAGCTTACGAAAAAACCTGGATTCAGCTGGTCATGCTGATAGTACCATGTAAGGTCTCCAGGGATACAGGATGAGCAGCGTTTGTACTCCATGTTAGGAGCGGCTGTACATAGTGTCTGTTCCTCATGTCAGAGGCAGCCATTTCTATTGAAGCTAAGTCTGCCTGCCACTGAGTAGTGCTCCCAGTCTTAATGACAAAGGTAGACGCATTCTACTTCACCCAGTCATGATGGTTGTCAAATCTCTGTGGAGATAAGAAAGAAGAAGACTATATAAAGAGCTGCAGCTTCACATACAAAGAGTTACATGTGGCTTGAACTTCAGTTTGCCGACCCCTGATCTAGATAGGTAAACAGAAGCAACATTTATCTATAGAAAGTGGAGAAGAACATTTATCTTTCCTTAAGTTGGGTCATTCTTCTGTGTTACGTCTTTTGAGCCTGCAACCCCAAGACATATTATTGACTGTATTGACTCATCCATTGATGAGCTCTACTCTTCCCCGGCAGACACCATCAAAAGTCTCAAGCTTTACAAGCATGATACCCTAGTGTGATTGAGTGGAGATAAGAAAGAAGAAGATACGTCTTTTGATAGATGATATCTCTGTGCATGTTAATTTTACCATCAATCTTTCCTTAAGTTGGGTCATTCTTCTGTGTTACGTCTTTTGAGCCTGCAACCCCAAGATATATTATTGACTGTATTGACTAATCCATTGATGACCTCTACTCTTCTCCGGCAGACACCATCAAAAGTCTAAAGCTTTACAAGCTTGATATCCTAATATTATTAAGTGGAGATAAGAAAGAATAAGAAGATGAGAAGTCTTTTGATAGATGTTATCTGCGTGCATGTTAATTTGACTATAAGTCTTGTGTGTCTTGTTTTCTGTGTCTCACTTCCAGTATGACCAGGTATTGGCTTGGATGATACCTTCGTGCTGATGGCTGCTTGGAGACTTACCGACCCAGGCTTAGAGGTGGAACGTCGACTTGAACAGACCTACCATCATGCTGGATTCTCTGTTACCATCACCTCACTTACCAATCTCCTGGCCTTTCTTCTGGGAATCGCATCACCCTATCGGGCCACTCGTCTTCTATGCTGCTACGCGGCTCTATCTGTCTTCACAGCTTTCATCTTCCAGTTGACATTCTTTGGTGGATTCTTGGTGCTTCTTGGCCGTGCTGAAGCTGCCAATCGTCATGGACTCACGCTGCGCACAGTCAAACCTCTCTCCTTAGCTGGTTTGTATCCTACTCTTAATATGGCACATCCATTCGTGTCTGTACGTCACATAATTGTCATTTGATCTACCAAGCTTACTATTAACACAAAGCAATAACGCGCCATCTATATATATAAAATGAAAGGATTTAAAAGCACGAATGTTTCTTATATACACAAAACAAACTTCTACTATCCTTACTGCGATTAAAAATATATTGGGAGGGCTTGGTTCATCAGTGGTGAACCCTCCCAGCGGTTTCGCTAATTGACCGCTTCTCAGAGCTCTAATACTGTATTGGACGATTCTGCTTACATACGCAGCACTGAAGGATGGAATCTCAGAAATGGTATTTAATAAAACTATGGACATAAGTTTATAGTTTGTATTGTGTATAAAAGAAACATTCGTGCTTTTAAATCCTTTCATTTTATATATAAGCTTAATATTGTAGAGTTGTAGCAGATTAAATGTTTACACTCTTGGACAAAACTTAAGGAAAATCTTTGATATCGTTTATTTTTCTTTTCTTTTTTTTTTTGGGAGACAAAGGCAATTTTATTCACACTTGGTTATCTAGTGTGTCTTCAATAAAGGTCACTTAAATATCTTTCAGAGTTATTGTCTGAATCCCGATATACATGCTATAAGGTACAACTTCATTAATTTTTGTCCATGAGTGTATCTTTCAGAGTTATTGTCTGAATCCTGATATACATGCTAAAAGGTACAACTTCCTTAAGTTTTGTCCATGAGTGTATCTTTCAGAGTTATTGTCTGAATCCTGATATACATGCTAAAAGGTACAACTTCCTTAAGTTTTGCCCATGAGTGTATCTTTCAGAGTTATTGTCTGAATCCTGATATACATGCTAAAAGGTACAACTTCCTTAAGTTTTGTCCATGAGTATATCTTTTAGAGTTATTGTCTCAATCTCGATATACATGCTGAAAGGTACAACTTCCTTAAGTTTTGTCCATGAGTGTATCTTTCAGAGTTATTGTCTGAATCCTGATATACATGCTAAAAGGTACAACTTCCTTAAGTTTTGTCCATGAGTATATCTTTTAGAGTTATTGTCTCAATCTCTATATACATGCTGAAAGGTACAACTTACTTAAGTTTTGTGCATGAGTGTATCTTTTAGAGTTATTGTCTCAATCTCGATATACATGTTATAAGGTACAACTTCCTTAAGTTTTGTTCATGAGTGAATCTTTCAGAGTTATCGTCTGAATCCCGATATACATGCTAAAAGGTACAACTTCCTTAAGTTTTATCCATAAGTGTAATGATAATTCTAAAAATAATAGTTATACAATTTATCACAGTAGATGGAAGTTGAAATTATAATTGTAACTTGCTAACAAAATAGCTTTAATTGCTCAATTCATATCCTTGTATTTTTATAGGTTCCCTAAACACTCCAAAACTTCCTTCCTTAGTAAATTCACGGCATATAGAGAAATAATCAAATACCATAGTAGAGAGATCTGGAAGATTAATTTGACGAAATTGATGAGAGGGTTAATCACTGATGCATAGTTATACAGTTAAACCTGTCTATAGCGCTATCTCTTGGGACTCACCAAAATAGGGTGCTATAGAGAAGGATTGCTATAGACAGGTCACTTTTAATGTAAATGGCATCGTACTACGTACAGTTAAACCTGTCTATAGCGCTATCTCTTGGGACTCACCAAAATAGGGTGCTATAGAGAGGGGAATCGAACCCACAGTGTTCCGCTTACCAGGCAGATGCCATGTCCACTAGGCTACCCTGGACTGCTATAGAGAAGGGGTGCTATAAACAGGTCACTTTTAATGTAAATCGCAGCGTACTACGTACAGTTAAACCTGTATATAGCGCCCCCTCTTGGGACTCACCAAAATAGGGTGCTATAGAGAGGGGGTGCTATAGACAGGTCACATTTAATGTAAATCGCATCGTACTACATACAGTTATATCTGTCTATAGCGCCCCCTCTTGGGACTCACCAAAATAGGATGCTATAGAGAGAGGGTGCTATAGACAGGTCACTTTTAATGTAAATCTCATCGTACTACGTACATTTAAACCTGTCTATAGCGCCCCCTCTTGGGACTCACCAAAATAGGATGCTATAGAGAGGGGAGGCTATAGACAGGTCACTTTTAATGTAAATCGCATCGTACTACGTACAGTTAAACCTGTCTATAGCGCCCCCTCTTGGGACTCACCAAAATAGGGTGCTATAGAGAGGGGAGGCTATAGACAGGTCACTTTTAATGTAAATCGCATCGTACTACATACAATTAAACCTGTCTATAGCGCCCCCTCTTGGGGCTCACCAAAATAGAGAGCTATAGAGTAGGGAGGCTATAGACAGGTCACTTTTAATGTAAATTGCATCGTACTACGTACAGTTAAACCTGTCTATAGCGCCCCCTCTTGGGACTCACAAAAATAGGGTGCTATATAGAATGGGTGCTATAGACAGGTCACTTTTAATGTAAATCGCATCGTACTACGTATTTAAAATCAGGCGCTATAGAGAGGGAGGCGCTATATAGAGGGAGCTATAGACAGGTTTAACTATATATCAATTCAACTTCCAGAATGTGTATTTTCTATAAAGATAGGAGTTACCTAAGTGAAAATTTATGGCAATGCGGTAATAAAGAAGTTATTTGAACAAAAAAACCGATGCATTATATAAAAATTGAAACTAATGAAAGATGGCTTATTGCCATTTTATATAAGTAGAATATTTGCTTCTTCAGAAATCAACGTGAAGAGATTACTGAGTGACTTGCCAGGAATTCCAAATCGAATGGCCTAGAACAGCCACAAAGGCTCAACTTTGGACATTCTGAATGTTTATCTAATTGACATTCAGGAAATGAACGTCCTTCCTTCTTTGTCAGATTTTATGGATTATTAAATTTTATATGTCAACGTATGCTAATGCTATTCTAACAAAAAAAATATTTTTTTATCGTGTTTGTTATATTATTACAACTTGATGGGTGTTTGATGGAATTTCAATCATACCATGTTTTTCGAATAATGTGGTCAGGATGGATATCATACTCGCGGTCTATTACGAAGAAGAAACGGAGCACCTCCTCGGGCTACTCACGTCTAAAGACAAGATTCTTCTCGACAAATTCTTCGACATTATCTTCAAACATGTTCCGAACATGAACTCCCCAAATAGCAGGGATCTGTCTAGATTCAAGGCGGCTTTAAGCTCCTGATTCGGACGTGCCCTCGGAGAGGTCTACGTCGATTGTATATATCTCTCTTCATTCCTACCATTATTATCACCTTATAACTCCCTTTGAGTGTAAAGATTGACGAGATGTCAATAAAGTTGTTTAATTGTCAATTGTCATGTTCTTGTGTATGTCTGAAGTGTCGAACATTCCTTAAGATTAGTTCTTTCTTTATTCGTCGAAGGAAGGTTATATGCTAATATAATGAATTAGGGCGCCATCTGTTGTAAAATATTCAAATTATTTTGACCCTTTTGGAAATAAAACAATTTTCTACTATCATTGCTATGCACTTGCGCGCCATCTGTTATCAAAATTCGAAACTATTTTAAACGCGTAAGATTCTTTTTAAAATTAAACAATTTCTATTGCCCTTACTTCACCACTGATAAGCCAGGCCTGTGTATAGTCTGTGTGATCCTTGCACTGATATCATATCTCTTCATTTGTTTTTATATTTGTTCGTTGAAGAGCAGAAATTGCTCGAAAACTTGCAACACCTCAAAAACTTGCCGGGAGGATATTGATCTAAAGAGACAAAGGTGCCTCTCCCGCCAAAATAGACGTCAAAACCAGACGCCATCTACGAGAACCATTAGCCCGAAACTATGGTCTCTAGGTGGACGCTTTTCAGTTTGCCAAAGCTGGTGTTGTGGCTTTGTCAACGACCCTAGTTGCGGCGACGGTCAATAGATGGCGTCTGGTTTTGACGTCTATTTTGATGGGAGAGGCGACCTTTGTCTCTTTAGACCTCATAAACTCTTTGCCTAAAAAGCTAATTATTATTATACGAAAATTTCTGGATAACCATCGCTTGCCTAGAGTGAAATAGTATCTTAAATAGTTTGTGGCGATTACATTATTGGGACAGAGAAAATTTCAAAGGTTTTAAGACATCCAGAAGTGATAGTTCCAAAATCACTTTATAAGGTACCGCTCAACAAGAGCAAACTAGTTTATGATATTTGCAACAATGAATAATAAGTGAAGGTTATTCATGTATTAAACAAAATGTTAACGTGGGATTCAATCCCAGTTCATGGCTGTCGGGAATCGAGGGTGTTACCTACTCGTCCACCGACTTCTTTTTCAGAAGTGATAAATATAGAATCTAATAGTTGTATCATTTGTTGATGTATCAAGTTGGTGATTCAACTAATATAGGTACGCATTACAAGTACTTTATCTCTTATAGACATCCAAAAGTGGTTCACCAATGATGAGCCAAGCCAATATCGCAGTAGAAGTTTGATTGATGTGTAAAAGTCTTAATGTCGTCATTTTCTGTATAAAAACGATGCGTTATTGCTTTATAAATTGATAATTAACAATTAATTGCCATCTATCGTTAAAATTTTTAATAATTAATTTTGTGGAAATGTGTTTCTTTTTTACTTATCGAATATTGTCTCTAAAGATATTACTGTAATGGTATAAGTTATTGAATGTGAGAGCTTGGCTTATCAGTAGTGAACCCTCTCAGCGGTTTCATCAAATTAATCTACAGACCTCTCTACTATTGTATTGGATTGGTATTCTAATATATCCTGTATTTACTATGGAAGTCAGCTTAGGGATGTTTAGGGAACCAATGGACATAAGCTTATAGGTCTGTAGAGATGCATACATAGAATTACAAGAATTTACATCGAGCAATGCTCTTTCACAAAAATGTTTTCTTATCAAATCTATTATTATCAAATTTGCATTTAAAATTTAATTGCCATTTATCGTTTAAATTTGTAATTATCATTAAAATGAAAAGAAGCATATCCTCTGTGTCCCAATGGTTACATTGCATTGAAAGCTGATTTCCAGAAATCCATTCCAAAGATTACTTTCAACAATTCCCTCAAGAAGCATATCCTGTGTCCTAATGTTTACATTGCATTGAAAGCTGGTTTCTTGAAGTCCATTCCAAAGATTGCTTTCAACAATTCCCTCAAGAAGCATATCCTGTGTCCCAATGTTTATATTGCATTGAAAGCTGGTTTCCAGAAATCCATTCAAAAGATTGCTTTCAAATTATCCCTTGAGAAGCATATCCTGACTACATTCAAATGAACTTTTTAGATGGCAGAGCGCCATCTAGTGGAAAAGAAATAAACTAAACGTTGACCTAGCCTGTTCCTTGATGTTTAGCCAACCCATTTTCTTGACAAATCAAGAAAAGTCAACCACGAATGCGTTTCGGGCTGTTGGCTCTCGTCAGCGTGGTGCAAGCTGTATCTGTTTGATTTTCTTGATTTTTCAAGAAAATGGGTTGTCCAAATATCAAGGAACAGGCTAAATCAATGTTTAGTTGATTTCTGTTCCATTAGATGGCGTTTTGCCTTCTAAAGGTTTATGTGGACGTGTTCAGGATAGGCTTCTTTTGATTATAATACCAATACCTGATCTCTTTCTATTATAATAATTATATTTTAAAATATACATATTATTCATTTTGAAAATAGAGCAATCCATATTTAATTCATTAGATAATAAAAAGGCATATATTGAATTTAATAAAAGATTTATTTTGCCAATATTTCGGCTGGCTGAACGCCAACCTTTATCGAGGCATTACAATTTTGTATACACAAACTTAGCGCCGCATAGTGTTATAATATCACAGTTGAAATCATTTAAAATACAAAGTAGGTGGGGGAAATTTGTGCATAAATTTTATTGCAATTTTTATATATATTTTTTTCATGCACAAATTTCTTCCACCCCTACTTTGTATTTTAATTGATTTAAACTGTGATATTATAACACTATGCGGCGCTAAGTTTATGTACACAAAAATGTAATGCCTCGATAAAGGGTGGCGTTCAGCCAGCCGAAATATTGGAAAAATAAATCTTTTATTAAATCCAATATATGTCTTTTTATTATCTAACATATCATTTATGTGATGTTTGTATATAAACTTACGGTTTTACGATCCACGCCCGTTGAAGAACGTTCTGTTCGAAAGCTTGCGGTATTAAAGAAATTTACACAAGACGCTCCTCTTAATGCTTATTATTGGTTTTTAATGATCGTGATTTTAAGAGTTTAATTTCTACAATATAAAACTAGGTTAGGGTATTTTTATTCTGTTACATGCCTGTAGGATACCATGCGCTGTAAACCTTGGCTGTGACCTCACTTATCGGATTACATGGGCATTAAAGACTTGGATAATTCCAGGCCACGTTCGAAGAGTTGGAAAAATCTCTGTTCTAATGTTGTAAGATTTTCTTGAAAGATAAATTGTGGTCCTTATTTTACAGTAGAGTTCTCCCATGAAAGATGCTAACACCTGAAACATAGCTAGACCTGGTCTATCCTGAAGGTGGTATCTTTTCTGCTTTCTTAATGTTTTTTACATTTTTAGAAATTTGATGGAAAATTGTAACAATTTTTGCATATTAGTTTGGTTATCCTCGTAAGTATCTATTGCATTATTATATTAAGATACAGAGAGATTATAGACATCCTAGATTGAGGACCTTGCGACTGGTGTGATAGAGATGTATGGAGACATCGGAGGCTCTTTATTGGAAAC